TTTTTGTTTTGTGAGATTGTTGATTTGTGGTCTTTCAGTCTTTTGGCTGTAGGCATTGATGGCTATAAATTTTCCTCTCGGGATTGCTTTAGCTGTGTCCCTCAGATTTTGATAACTTGTGTTCCTTTTATTGTTTAGTTCAGAGAATCTTTTCATTTTCATCCTAATTTCCTCCTTAACCCAATAATAATTTAGCATTAGGTTGTTCAGTTTCCCTATATTTGTGCCAAGATGAGTGTTTCTTTTTGAGTTGATTTCTAATTTTATTCCACTATGGTCTGAGAAGATGTGTGGTATAATTTCTATTTTTTTTTAACTTGTTGAGACATGTTTTGTGGCCCAGGATATGGTCAGTCTTAGGGAATGTCCCATGAGCTCAGGAAAAAATGTGAATTCAGTGGTTTTGGGGGAGAATGTTCTGTAAATATCAGTCAGGCCCATTTATTATAGAGTTCTGTTTAAGTCCATCTTTTTGTTGTTTATTTTCTGTTTGGAGAATCTGTCCTGTTCTGTCAGAGGGATGTTGACATCCATATCTATTACAGTGCTTCTGTTTATCATTTTGTTTTGATCAGGTAGGATTTGCTTTATGAACTGGGTGCAGCTGAGTTAGGAATTGTTATGTCTTCTTGTTGAATTGTTCCCCTTACCATTATGTCATAACCATCTTCGTCCTTCATTACTTTTGTTGAAGACTGAGTTATCTGAAATGAGAACTGCTACACCAGCTTTCTTTTGGTTTCCATTTGTGTGGAATATTGTTTTCCATTCCTTCACTTTGAGTCTGAATGAGTCCTTGTGGGTCAGATATGTTTCCTGAAGATAGCAGATACTTGGCTTGTGTATACTTTCAATTTGGCCTGTTTATGTCTCTTCAATGGAAAGTTCAAGCCATTCACATATATTGAAAGAATTGATAAGTAGAGTGGATTTCTATTCATCTTGTTGAGTAGAATTTTATTGTTTTGTTTTCTCTCTTGAGCCATTGTGGTACCTGGCCTTTGACCTTTGGCTTTTGGATGATTTTATACTGATGAGTGTCTATTGTGCTGATCTGTGTGTAATACTGTTCTGAGTACTTCCTGGATGTCAGGTCTTGTTTGGACGAATTCCCTCAGTGTTTGCTTATCTGAGAAGGTCTTTATTTCTCCTTCATATGAGAAGTTTAGTTTTACAGGATACAAAATTCCATGCTGGGCATTGCTCTGTTTGAGAAGACTGAGAATGGGACTCCATTCCCTTCTAGCTTGTAATGTCTCAGTTGAGAAGTCTGCAGTTAGTTTGATGGGTTTTCCTTTATAGGTTACCTACTGCATTTACCTTACATCTTGTAGGAGGGTCTCTTTCTTGTTTATTTTGGCAAGTCTGATGGCTATGTGTCGTAATGCTTTCCTCTTTGCAATGAATCTCTCAGGAATCTTTTTAGCTTCTTGTACCTGGATACCTAGATTTCTAGCAAGGCTAGGGAAATTTTCCTAAATTATTTCCTCAAATAGATTATCTAACCCTTGTGTATTTTCTTCTTCATCATCAGGGATGCCTCTGATTCTTATGTGGGGCCTCTTCACATGATCCCATATTTCTTGTAGGCTTTGGGGGTTTTTGTTGTTGTTATTATTTGTCTGCTAAATCTCTGCAACTGGTTTACTTAATCAAAAGGTGTTGTCTTCAATTTCTGAGATTTTTTTTCTTCTGTTTAATCTAAACTATTCTTAAGGCTTTCCACTGTGTTTTGTAATTCCTTGAATAAATTTTTCATTTCCATAAGTTCTATTTTTTTTTAATTTGTGTCAATCTCTTTAGTAAATTTTTCATTCATTTTCTGAATTGTTTTTGTGGTTTCATTGAGTTGGTTTTCCATTTTCTGTTGGATTTCATTGAGCTTCCTTACAATTCATATTTGGATTCTTTATCTGTCAATTTAATATTTTCATTTTGGCTGGTATGCATTGCTAGAGAGCTAGTGTTCCCTTTTGGGGGTGTCTTTTCACTCTGATTTTTCATACTTCTGGAGTTCTTTTACAGATTTCTTCTTAAGTAGGGAAGCTGTCACTTCTTATTTTTGGATTTTCTTTTGTTTAGCTGGAGATTCCCCACCCCACCCAACCTACTCACTCATAAGGGTTTGTCTGTAGCATATGTTGGGTAAAAACCTTTGGCTTTTCTTCTGGTACATTGATGGTGGTCTAGGTTCTGGATGGATGCCTTGATTATAGATATCCTCAGTGTGGTGACTTTTCCACTTGCTAGCTGTTTATAGGCTGTAGCAATGGTGAGCTATGTGCATGGGCAGATTCTCTGTCTATTGTTGGTGACTGAGGATGGTGGTCTTTGGAGGCCTTTCTCTTTCCCTAGCCCTATGGTCTTAACAGTGTGAATTGTATTGGCACACCCAGTTTAATCTCTGAGACAATAGGTGATGCTTGTGGGTAAGAATCAACCACACCCTATATGATTTGAATTAGCAAATGGTGTAAAGGGTTGTACAAACTGACCTCCCTGCCAGTTTTTGCCAGAAAGAACCAGCTGCAGGGTGCTTTTTGGTACCTTTCATCAGCTCTAGCCCTTCAGGGGAAGCACTCAAATGCCCCAGCTGGTGGGTGGGGCCCTGGAACTTCCAGATGAGGCCTGATTCTCCACCACAGCAAAGGTAGGTTGGGGAGTATGGCTGGGCAGGGCTGGGTCAGGTGAGCCTGCCCTCAGGCTCCACCAAAGCTAATAAGATAACTATTTTAGGAGAGGTCAAATGTCCCCTCCCCTCCTAGGCTTCTGGCAGAGGTTGACCACCAGGGAGGGGTCGATGTGGCCCCACCCAGCCAGTAAGTCTGCTTGTTCAAGAGGGGTTATTAGAGATTCACAGTCTGGCTGTCAGAAGCAGGTTTTGCTCTTTTGCCACTTCCCCTGCTCTGTGGTCTCCCTCTGGTATCTGCCAGCAGGCAGGAGCTCAAACTAGCTGAGCTCCCCGGCAATGGTGCTGCAGGGTGGGAGCTTCCCTGTCAAGGATCCTTCCCTGAGCTGAGAGTGGAGCCTTCCTGTGGGGGGAAGGGGTGTTCCACAAGTGTGCTGCCACTGGGACCCACACTGCACTCTCTTTTCAGTTCTGCCCATATGGGCTCCCTATCCTCCCAAGATTAGTTCACAAATCCTCCGCTCCATGCCCCTGAGCAACACAACTGTGTCCTGAAGGTATAGGATCTAGACTGTGGGCCTGTCCATGAGTCCCCAAAGATCAATCCCTAACTATTCCAGAGAGAAGTGTGCTGGTCCCAAGTTGCCTAAGGGATGTTCAAGCAGCTTTGATGCCTCTCTGCTTTGGGGCGTGACCTGCTCTGATGGAGCAGCCGGGCAAGCAGCACTGGGGAGGGCCAGTGAGCAGGGAGCTCACAGTCTGAGCACCCCTTAGTCTGCTGCAGGTCTTTAAAAGGAAAGGTTTGAGCCCTAGTCTCTGTGGAAGCCTCTGTGTGGTAGATGCAGCAACAGTGAGGAAGCAGCTGCTCCTGAGAGCCCCGGCTCAGTCATCTCTCTTGGCAGCTGTGAGTGGGGCAGGGGAAGGGGAGGAAAAGAGTCTGGATGGAGGACACCTTGCATTATGGTCATCTCTGTCCCTGTCCCTGGATGACAGCCCAGCCAGAGTATCCAGACTTTGGGGTCATTCACTTTCCCCTAGACCCACTGGCCCCTGAAGCTCTTACAGTGTGGGCCAGAGTTGGGAAATGTTTGTGTGGGAATGAGTGAGATGAAAACTTGAGGAGCTGAAGCCCCATGGGAAGGACAAAGGCTCACGGTGGGTGGAGAAGCAATATGGCCCCTGCCATCTCAGCTCAGGTCTGCGGTGATGGGTAGTGACTATGAGGGTGCTGGCAGCCTGGTGTTTTGTCCTCACGAAGCTTGCAATTCACTGGTGGCAGCAGCTTTTGGTCTCGTGAGGGAGCCTGCTGACTGCCAGAGATGCGAGGGAAGGAGAAACAAACTGCTCCACCTACCCTTTTCGCTGGACTCCAAGCCTCCTGGGGGTTGATCTCTGTGGATACCTTGCTCCTTCTTGTTCTGCTCTGCAGCTTCTTCCAGTTGAACCTCTGGTAGGTTCTGGCACTTTTCCCCCAGAGTTACACCCAACGTATATATGTTTGTTTGTTTTCATCTAAAATTTGTCTTTCATACTGAGATGATCTGGCAGCTGGTATCTCTGGTTAGCCATGTTGTCTCTAAAACCTAAACAGTAGACTTTAAACATTCTTACTATAAAAAATAAGTAGATGAGTTGATGAATATGCTAATTAGCATGAGTGAATCTTTCTGCAATGTACACATATATCAAAACATCACATTTTATCCCATAAATATGTACAATTATTATTTGTCAAGTTTTAAAAAGTGGAATTAGAAACCGAAAATTCACCTGGGCATGGTGGCTTCAGGCCTGTAATTCCAGCTGTCTGTGAGGCCAAGAAGGGAGTCACCTGAGACCAGGAGTTTGAGACCATCCTGGGTAATATAGTGAGACTCTGTCTTTACACAATCACACATACACACACACACACAATAGCCCAGTGTGGTGGCACATGTCTGTAGTCCCAGCTACTTGGAAGGCTGAGGTAGGAGGATTGCTTGAGCCCAGGAGTTCGAGGATGCAGTGAGCTATGACTGTGCTATGGTACTTCAGTCTGGGGGACAGAGTGAGATGCCATCTCCAAAAAATATGAAAACAAAACAATAACACTTGATTTAAGACATTTATGAAATTTCTTTAAGGCATATCAGAAGAATATTCATATTATTTAACACATATATAAAAATGAAAAATGTAAAAGACAAATTCTCATTCAAAAGCTAGAAATAGAACATGAAAATAAACCAAAGGAAAGTACAAGGTAAATGAAATAAAGATAAAAGCAGAATTTAATTATGTAGAGAATGAACAATAGACGTAATTAATAAGTCAAAACCCTGATGATTAATAAATTAAATATACAAACTGCTTAATGAAGGGAAAAGGGGGAATATAAACAAAATAAATGATATTATTAATACAGAGAAAAATGAAGTCATCAGAGACTATTTAGCACACCTTTATTCAAAAAATTTGGAACATACATGAATTTATCAGGAAAATACAGTTTACTGCTGATCTTGACTCCATTAGAGATAGAATGCTTAAAGAGGCCATTTCCTGTAGAAGGAAAAGAGAAAATTATCAAGAAACGTCTACACACACACACACACACACACACACACACAAGGGCTCATATATCTCCACATGGGAATTCTACCAAACATACAAAAATCACATAATCCTGATGCCAAATAAATTGTTTGAAAACATAGAAAATGAAGGACAACTGGAAAATTTAGTTTGAGAGTACACATAGTAAGAAATTCAGTAATATAATTCACTATGGAGAAAAATTATTTGATTATCTCCACTGAAACTATAAAAGTCTGACATGTTTCAACACCCATTCCTGCTATTTATAAAATCCCTCAAAATAGTTATTTATGGGTCTTTCCTCTTTTTCCTCCTTCTGTCTGTCAGTCTGTCTCCCACTAAAGATCTTTCCATTATGATTTGGGCTAGGAAAAAGGTGCCTATTATGTCCTCTATTCTTTGTCACTTTGTACAAAATATTAGCCCTTGCAATTAGATAAAAGAAAATTATTGGAGCCATAAAAATTGGGAGGAATGTGATAGTAAAACTGGAAAAAACTTGAGAATCAGTGATAAAACCAACACAAACATTAAGAGAATTCAGGAATCAAGCAGGACATAAAAATAATATAAAATAATAGAAACATTTATATTAGTGAATAATAACCAATCAGAGGATACTTGAAGAGAAAACATTTGCAGTAGAAATAAAAAAGATAAAAGTATTATAAATAGACTTAATAAATATGAAAACTCTACATGAAGTACTTATGAACAAATAGAAAATGTATTACTTGTTATTGTATAGGACGACTCAACATCATAATGATGTAGCTTCTCCCTAAGTTAATTTATCCATTTAATAGAAGTCCACTAAAACATAAAAAGGGTTTTTCTGGAGCTGTGAAAGTTGAGAGTAAAGTTAATTTGAAAAAATAAATATGTAAAAATACATGAAAATACTGAACAAGAAGACTAAGCTAATACTAGTCCAAACAGATATTAAAATATGTACAACATCTCTACTATTAAAATGGTGGTAATAACATATTACTAAAAAACTATCCACTGAAATGGAAAATAAATCTAAAAATAGATCCAGGTATATATGGAAATTTAGTACATAATAATTGTGGCATTTCAAACCAGTGGGGCCAATTTGAATTTTTAAATTAGTAGTGTGGGAAGATTCAGATAGTCATTTGGAAAATAGTAAAATTACATTGTACCTCACATATTACATAAGGGTATGATTCAAATAGATTGGAGATATAAATGTAAAACAGAAAATCACCTGGGTACCAGAAAAAATCATGGGTAACTTCTTTTATAACTTGAGTGTAAGGGAAAGCTTTCTAATTATGTTTCCAAATCCAGATGCAATAAAATATTAATTTGGATAAATATGTTTAAAAATTCCATGATGAGAAAATGTAATCAAAAGACAAATGACAAACTGGAAGAAATTATTTGTAACATATACCACAGAAAAGAGCTAATATCTGTAATGTAAAATTTGAGGACAAAATATGAAGAAATCTGATAGAAAATTGTGCTAAGGACAAGAAAAGATAATTAAAGTATAAAATGGCCCTAAATATTTTTAAATGTTTTATATTACCGTAATAAGAAAAATGCATGTTAGAACTATGTCGAGATATCATCTCTCACTGCTTATATTGGTAAAATTTAACATACTTAAAAGTACACTTTACTGGCAAGCTTATGGAGGAGGTACCATCTCTCATTGGTAGTAGGAATGAGAAACAAAGAAAAATTTTCCATGTTAAGGAAATTTGGCAATATCTGACTGAGCTACACGTACACCCTTTTACCTAGAAATCCCACTTCTAGGAGTTTTCCCTGAAGATACTTCTCCAACAATATGAAAACAGGCATTCACAAATTTGTGTGATTTAGCATTATATGTATTTGCAACATTTCAGAAACTACTAAAATACCCCAATGAAGTAAACTGATTAAAAATTATGATATTTCCATACAATAAAGTACTATGCAGCTATGTAGAAAGGATGAGTAAAAGCTGCATTAGCAGGTGTATTTCCAAGGTACGTTATTGAAGAAGTTAAGAAACAGCACATAAAATTTTATATAGTATGCAATGTTTTATGTCAGAAAGAAAGGGAAATGAGAAAATAGTTATTCCTCTGTTTATTTTTTGTGAAAATTAATGAAATGTTTTATATAGAGGAGGTGTGTGTGTGTGTGTGTGTGTGTGTGTGACAAGAGCAAGTAGAAGTGATGGGAAGCAATGACACTTCTCTGGGTATTCCTTGTTTCACTTTGCATAGTTTTGATTTTTGGAATCATGTTAAAATTTTACATATTCCAAAATAAAATTAGATGTCCAATAATGGGGAAAATCCCTAAAGTTGAATACAAATAGAAACAAATGAATTCAGCTCTACTTTAAATTAATGGCATAACCACATTGAAAGAAAAAACCACTATATTAAATAACTTTTGAGCATATTCTTAGCTAAAGGGGGAGCAAAAAGATTTGAAAACAAATCCTGACATCAACTTAGAGGTCCTCTTTTCAGAGTAGCATGGTTACTGTGATTCTGAAACTACATCATGTGTAGTATTGTAGGTTAAGCAAATTAAAAAATATATTAATTTTGTTGAAAATTGGGAATCTCACAATGGAAAGAGAGAGTTAAAAATAGAGAATGTGTGAAAGCAAGGAAGAACTATGGGAGACATTAGTATATACTCATTAATTAGAATATATAATAGTATTATTATATCATAATACATATGGCATATGTATTCTTGCCTCAAATCAATAATACTCCAGAACAATTAGATATTGCTTTCTAAATATCATTTTCCATTGAAAGGAACCAGGTAGATTTTGGATTCACGGACTGGGAAAAGAAATTATGAGTGAGCCTTGACAATCTTGCTGCTCCAGAAAGTAGGGAAAAAAGGTAACTGTGAGGTGAAGGATGTGTCAACTGGATTATGGTGACCATCTCACAGTGTATGCATATATCAAATCATCATGTTGTACCTCTTAAATATATGAGATTTTATTTGTCTGTTATACCTCAGTAAACCTGGGGAAAACTTAAAAAATTTTTTAAAGATAAAAATATTGAGGTGAATCTAAAAAAATATTGGGGACATGCTAAAAGCAGTTAGAAACCAGCTTGAAGAGGCTCCTATTGTCTAATTCTTGAATAATTCAAGAATAACAATAAATAATGACAGTAATGGATTAAAAAGCATTGAATAAAACAAGAAACTGTGAGTCCATATTGAAAACAACAAGAGAGAAAGACGGATAGTGCTTCCTTACAGAACAATAGCAACAAATAAATGTAGAGGAAAAACCAAGCTAGAAAATCACCATTCACAGCCAGCAGGCAAGAATCACCAAGGCATATTAAAACTAAAATAAATATTGTCAAATAATGTCCCTAAAGAATAATTAGCAATTTAAAAAGAAAAAAAGGAACTTTACAGTGGTGAAACCTGGCACATACCAACTTAACTAAATGATGATTGTGACCCACAATAGGACAGACCAACATTGTGGGCCTCCTAAGGTGAAGTGCTGAGAAAAGCAACGTTACTTATGTCATATTCCTGCCAAAAATATATAACCTGAATCAGATCATGAGGAAACAGCAGACAGACACACACTGAGGTGCATTTTACAAAAAAAATCTTATGTCTACTGAAACCATCAATGTTGTGAAAGATTAAAAAGTCCAAAAAATAAAAAAAAAAGAAAATACAACCTGTTCCAGATTAAAAACAGGGATAAAAGAATGCAATAACTAGTGAAATGTGTGATCCCAAATGGGATCTTAGACTATATAGGAAAGATGCTATTGAAAGTGTTATCAGAACAACTAGAAACATTAGACTATGGGCTGTAGATTAAATAATATTACATAGAAATTTTTGCATTATTTTCATAATTTCTTTGTAAGCTTGTGAATATTTCAGAGAGAATAGTTGGAAAATTGGGGAAAAACTTACAAGCTGATTTATACTCAGAAGTGCAAATAACCTAGAATAGCAAAAACAAAAACTCAGAGTTAAGAAAAATTAAAACTATAGTAATTTTTAAAAGTGTGGTATGGGTACAAATATAAACAAATAGGTAAAGAGAACAGAGTTCAGAAAAAGATGCATGTATATATGGTCACCTAATTTATGCAAATTTACTGGTAATAGAATGGTATTTTAGAAAAGTCATGCTAGATCAATTAGTTATCTGTATGAAAATAAGCGTTGGCTCACAAATAAAATCACATACTAAAATTAATTAGGAGTGAAGCCTAGTCTTAAAAGAGGAGCTTTCTTATGAAGCCTTTAGAAGAAAACATAGATAATAGACCATCTTTATGACCTTTGGGTAGGCAATGATTTGTTAAACAGGACACAAAGCAATAACATTCAGAAAAGACTCCACTTGGAAAATGTCAAGGCACACAACCAATTGAAAGAAGATACTTATCACACATATATTAAAGGACTCATTTTTTTTTTAAAAAATAGCTTCTACAAATAAAAAGAAGACAAAAGGGCTAGCTTTAAAAAGGGGCAAAAGACTAAAATGACACTTCATAAAAGAAGATATTCAGTGGCTGGTAAGAATTTGAAACAAGTTCTATGAAATTAAAACCAGAATGAAGTATCAGAGTGGTGATAATTATAAAAGAATGACAAGGCCACATTTCCTCCAGACTTTGTATGGGACTCAAGTGTAGCCAATGGGTGGTAAATGGATACAACTGCTTTGGAAATCTCTTTAGTAATATTTATGATCGCCAAACATATGCCTTTCTTGTCATTAGAGATTCTATTTTTAGTCGGATAATCAAGTACAATAAAGACGTATGTCCACCAAAAGATGTGTACAGGAATATTTATGTCAGCTTTTATTCATAATATTGCAAAGTTTTCAAACAACCCAGATGTCCACTGGCATGGGAACCAATAAATAAATGTAGTAAATTCACACGAACTACCATGTGCAGTAATAAAAAATAATGAATGATTGCTACATGCAACAATAAGGGTGCATCTCATAGACATTACATTGGGTGAGAGAAACTGGACATAAATAGATTATGATGCATGACTGTATATGAGGGGCAAGAGCAGACAAAACCAGTCTATGTGACAGAAGACAATGGTCGGTTACCTAGTGTTGATAATGACTTTATGATGGCCCAGCCACTGGGAAGGGGTACAGAGAAAAATGTTATGTAATACAGGGTGTCCCAAAAGTCTCCATATAAAAGAAACATTTTGCGAAATTTTGTAATGAATATTTTGTAAATGTACCTTTAGCTACAATTCCCTACTTTCCTTATGTATAGGTACTTTTGAGACATTCTGTAATTATATATACTATATGTAAAAATCTGGATGATATTCATATACATATGGTATATACATGTGTAAAAATTCACTGAGCAATCCTTTTGAGGTAAGTGCATTTTGTTGTGTGTGTATTATCCTTCCATAGTATTTTTTTTTACTTGACGAAGGAAAGGTGTTTTTATAAAAAACGAAACTATAAAAGAAACAGGTGACAGGTTCAGCCGCTTGGTGGCCGGGCTCCAGGTCGCTGCAGGAGGTGAGCCCGGCTGTGGGAAGAACCGGAGCCGCAGTTCTTCGAGGAGCCGCAGGAGGGTCCCGCGGCCAAGGCAGCCAGTCTCCCGCTCCTGGGCTTGCTTCCCGCCTCCTGCAGACGCCAGCCCAGGTCTTCCCCCGCAACCTCCCTAAAGCCCAAACTCCAAGCAGCACGCAAGCGGGAGCACGTTCCACACTCACAGAAGTGTATGTTCCCCGGTTTTGTGGATCGATCCCCAAATCTTACCTTTTACGATTAAGCACCAATCTTGCAGTGGCTCTCTTTTTCACTTACTTTTTATTTCCCCTCCTTTTCCTGTGAGCTAGGGTGAGGAGATGTAAACCCTGCCTGCCCAAGTGAGCTGTCAACTTCTCTGGTGCTGAAGACGGAGAAGGTGAGGCAGGACGGAGAGTGAGCATTGCATTGCGCATGCTCCGCAAAGCATCTCTGCCGGTCAACCTGGGCAAGGGTGAAAAATCAAAGCCTAGTAGCTTGTCCTTTGAAGATTCTTGACCTTGCGCTTTGCTTTCACACTTAGGGCCAGAAAGCTTGCTTTTAATTTTCCCTTCTTCTCAACCCATTTAGGTTTTTAAAAAATTCTTGTTCCAGGAAAGGGGGCTTTTTCCAAGGTAAAATGTTCGGGTCTACCAAGCTGACCCACTAAGTTTTATACATGGAGCAAAGCATTCCAAACGCCAGAAGAGGTCAGGTTGTATTCATTCATAATAATAGCATATTGAACATATGCCAGAAAGGAAAATAATAAAGAGTACAGGGATGCAAAAGAAGCATCACATTTTTTCATCCACTGATTGAATTATTAAAAAAAAATCTCAGGATACTTCTCATTATACTGATATTTTACAAAATCATTCAAGCACTCACCTGTTTCTATTATAAACAACTTGTAAGTATTTTTACTCATGCTCAAAAAATAAAGAATATGGTAAGGAGTCTAAAACTTTGCTCAAAAATCCAAAACAAATGTCTAATGAACTCCAACTCAGAGAGGCAGTATGACATAGTGATTAAGAAAAACACTGGAGCCAAACGCCTGAATTGTAACCCTTAGTACTCAACTTACTGGCTGTGTGATCTTGGGGAAGTGGATTAACTTCTCTGTGCTCTTTCTCCGTCTGTGAAATAGAAATAATGTGAGAATTTTAATTTACCTTTAATCAACATAAACCCTTCAACAAAGGCTTGGTCCTAGGTCTCTGATATTACAAATGTGTAATAGTTATTTTTACCTGTGTTCCTATTATTGTGTTAAAAATGGAAGCAAAACAGAATTGTTTCTACTTGAAGCTTTCTTATAGCACACTTAAAAATTGTATGAAGACTTGGCATATTTTTACAAGCAACTAAGGAACAATAAATTATCATCTAACTGACTTTTAAAGGCTCAGTTTTTGGTGCATAAAATTAGAGATTAGGGCAGAGTATGATAAAGGCTCATATATCCCTGAAACTTGAAGAAGCGATACAGATGTTGGAGATGGAAGAGTACAGGAGTACCGAGTCTTCATAGCAGAGTGGAACCAAGTTAGGCGTGTATATTTCAGTAGGAGAGATGTGGTAAGCAGAGGAGGATGCAGATGCCAGAAAAAGTCCCGGGGAGGGGTGATCTGGGCGAACCCAGGACCCCACAGAGACAGAAAGATGGCATGTCAAGAGGTGACAGCTCCACGGCTAAAGAGCAATACCGTCAACAGCAACTGCACTCCACTTCCTTGCCATGTTCATGTTGAGGAATCCAGAAACAAGAGGGGAAACACCAGAGGGCCTCAACTTGCTATCTTATATATTGAACAAGGCTATTTGCCAATGTTTAAGAAACAATTATCACATCCTTTCATAATTTTATGAATAGCAGTTGAAAATGTAAAATATTTTCTAAGAACTATTATTTTTTACAGAAAAGCAAAATTCCTAGTGGATTTACTGGTACCGTAACACTTATGTGATGAAAGACTAGCTTTTTGAGTAATTCTTACAAATGAAAACATAAATGCGGTTTTTGGTCTCTGGAATATGAAAACACATGGAATGAAGTGCGCTTCATGGTTCAACCAAAAATAATGCCCTTTGCTTTTTGACTAAGGATCTTTCTTGCTCCTACCTTCGACAGTCCATTTTATTGGTAGGTGTTAGTCTTTCTTTTCCGTGAGAAAGGCATAAGTCGGGGGAGCTTTTTTCCAAATATTCCCCAGAAAGCCACCTTTCCAAACACAGAACCTTCCTAGTGCACAGGAGGAGTCCAGCAACTTAGCACAAAGTGTGCGATGGAAACCACCTCCCCCCTTTGCAATGGGAGCCTAAATGGAGCTGGGAGGGGCGGGCAACAGGAGGTCAGGGAGCGCTGAAGGAAAACTACTCTGTGGGGCTCCCTGTCTGCGCTAGAGGTGCCACTCCCGTTCTTCAGGCACCCTTGGGATATCCCTGACCTCCCTTTCCCCCTAAGTGCCCTCCCCCACTTTCTTGGCCTCAAACTCTGAGTCCATTCAAACCTTGATTTTTCCTCTTGTGCGTTGCCAAGCGTGTAATTGGGGAAACTCCTCCCCGCCGGGACCGCCTCGCAGGCGCTGCCGAGGACCGCCGCGGCGCTGCCCCCACCTCCGAGCGCCGGGCAGCCGCACAGCGCGGGCAGAGCCCACCGGCGCTCGGCTGCTGCGCTAGGCTTCCCGCGGGCTGGGCGGCGCCGGGGGAACCGCGGGTCTGCAGCGCCAGGAGGTCCCTGGCGCCCACCCGCTCCCGCCGTCCCGCTGCGCGGACCCTGCGCCAGCGCGCAGGTGGGGGCGGCGCGCCGCGGTGGCCCGGCGTCCCGCGTGCGCCCCGCGGAGCCGCGCGCAGACCCGCTGGCCGTCGGGGGCGCGGCCAGCCGCGGGAGCAGACACCTGTCCCGCCGCGGCCGCCCAGAGCCGGAGTTGCGCCGCGACCGGCGACCGGCAGCGTCGGAGGCAGCGAGGGTGAGGAGAGCTGGGGAGGCAGCGGGGGTGAGGAGAGCCGGCGGAGACGAGGCCCGCGCTCCGGAGGAAGCCGAGCCCGGCTGAGGCCTCGGACTCCCAGCCCCGAGCTGCGCGGCACCATGGCCCCGAAGCTGCTGCTCCTCCTCTGCTTGTTCTCAGGCTTGCACGCAAGGTAAGTGGCGCGGGGGCCCCGCATCGCCCCGAGGCCTGGAGCCAGCGAGAGGGCGGCGGGGGGCGCTGTGCGCCGGCCGGAGTTCCTGGCGCGCCCCGCCGTCGGCTGGGCTGCGGTACAGCCGGCCGGGAGGGTATGGGAAGTCCGCCCGCGCCTCACCTGTCCTGTCTCCCCCTGACCACAGCCATCTGCCTCTTCCGGCTGGGTGGCAGCAGGCTCCTCTGCAACCAGGAATATGGGGACTCTGAGATTAAGGGGTTCGTCTCCTGACGTTTTTAGGATCTGGTGGTTTTTAGGGGTTTTGAAAACCATGACCACAGGACAGGAGCTGTTTCTACCTCCTTACCTGCGCGTTATTCCCACTCCAACTGTTCCAGGGGCTCTCGCACATACATTGACCGACATTCTCTACCGTTTCCAGCACTCCGAAATTTCCCACGACCCGGGAGTCGTGATTTCCTAGCAGCCCAGTTTAGATCAGACTGGGAAGAGCTAATGGGCCAGGGGCAGGTGTGTGTGTGTGGAGGGGGGTGCGGGGGGGTGGTTGGGACCAGATGGGCAGCAGAGAGCCCTGCTTCTTTGAAAGGACTCCCCTTGTAGGTTCTGCACACACACACACACACACACACCCCCCTTTTAGATCAGCCACTTTTCACACACAGGAACATACACTCTTCTGTCCCCATAAAACAAGCATGTTGAAATTGACAAGAAGCCTTCTGCCGAGTAATGTAAGAAATTATCTCCCCAGGAATACCCTTAACCTTCCTCCCAGAACAGCAACTAGGCAATGAGAGCTTAGAAATGCTCCAGAAGGGATGAAAAGGGCTCATGAGGATATAAGAGCAGTGGGGCCAGAAGAGTTAAACACTGTTGCTGTAAACACAACTGGAGATTCTGGGTTTGGTTTCTTTAATTCTGTCTCCCTGTCTGGATCTCTGATTAGAGCTTGCAGACTGCTCTGTGCTTTGAAAATCAGAGCAGCTTCCTGCCTCTTCCTCTATCCCCACGCTAGGAATCTCAGTGCACCCCTGTTCCCCAAAGACTCTTGTTTTGACGCTTCTCCATTTCCTGGGTCTGGGAGCTAGAGAATTGGAGAGCATCCTTGTGGGCTACAAGCCCTGCAGCTGTCAGGAGCAATGCCAGGAGGTTTTGCATTTTCATTTATATTTGGGAAGTACCAAGGAACTAGGAAGACAGGTGAATAAATCCTACAAAACGTGAAGAGGGCCCCAATTCTCACTCCCACCTTAGAGGTGCTTACAATGAGGAAGAAAGCCTTGGTCCTCCCCTTCAAACTGCCCATCTTTGCTGAGTTGAGAATGTGAAAGGCAGACTCCACTGGTGACTCACAGGCAACTCTCTCAACCAAGCACATCACTCCTTGGGTCTTTCAGCTGAAGTTTCTTTCTAAAGAGACAGCTGGTAAAAGAAATGGAAATGTGCTTTCTGAGATTGCTTCTATCTGGATATATGTATCTCTGTTTTGAGGTGGAAGACAGGCAGGCAGTACCAGGCATAATGTAGAGGCCCGAAGTCACATCTACCTGACTTTTCTAGTGCCACCAGTTCAAAGAAGTGACATGAAATTCAGGGTTAAGTAATCAACTGTTTAGATCTCTAGATACTCAACATTCTAGAAGAAAACTGCCTATTGTCCTTATGACTTTGTGTCCCTGATAGGAAGATATGTTAGTATCTACCTCAAGGAGTCAGGATTTTAGAGATTCCCAAATAGATTTAAAGTCCTGTGGGATTCCTCACCCTTTCCTTCCACCGAGGCAGATGTTATGATTTCAGTATGTTCTGTGTCTGGGTTGGCTCCTTGGCCTTAATAGTAGAGATTGCATTATCAGTTGGAAAAAATCCAAATTTATGCTAACTTTATTGTAACATGTCTGTCCTTTGAAAGTGTCTTTGTTCTTTGAATGGGTTTTACAGACATATAAAACAATCTGATGTCCAGTGTCATCTTTCAAAATTTATCAATTCTGAGAGGGTTCTCATTTGCATTCTGGAATGCCTTCCTGGTGTGGAGGTTCCCTGGAAAAGGTTCTGACAGTTGTGCCTTGTGGCTGGTGATGGCTGCCCCCAGGTTGGGGATGAGGTTCCCTATTTTGACGCACGGATGAGCTCATTATACATAAAACACACTCTGTCACACCTAGACCTTGGTGATGTCTTCAAGATACTTAACTGCTTTCTGAGGTTTAGGAGCTCCTTTTAATGTTTAAAAATACGTCAGACTCTGTCTCTGTCCTTTTGGTTGAAGCGAAGGTGTGAGACATGAAAATAACGTCTGAGGGTAGAGCAGTTGTTTGACAATGACAATACATCACCAATTTATTTTTAAGAAAGAGCTAATTGCAGTGATGGTGTTTATGATCCAACAATCCAAGGAACAGAGTGCTCATAAAGATTATATATAACTCACTTAGAATTTAGAAAAAAAAGGAAAATTTCTGTTTTATCCGTGTTCTAGTGGGTCCCCTGAGGTGACATTTGGTTTCATCAAAGCAGGGATTTTCCTGTGGGGCTGGTTGGGCTGGCACCAGCAATGTGAGGCTTCTGTTTCGTTCAGCATGGGAGGAGCATGGTGCTGGCAGCCGAGAGGCCAAGAGCATCCTGGCCCTGTGCTTCCTGCTGCCCACCCAGCCTGGCTGCAGAGCTGGGGTCCCCGTACACCTGAAGGGATGGGAGAGAGTGCTCCTGCTTTCCTATTCTTGTTCTCCCTCACTCCCACCTGCCCAAGGAAGACGCTTACGCAATTTTAGGAAAACCCTCTCATCACCACTAGAGGGAGAATTAGGCTCATTGTAATACCTGTTATTGAAGTAGCTCAATGTAATGTTTAGAAACTAAGCCTTGTATATAAAGAATGATGCAGGGCTAGTCAGTGTGCTCAATTTGTGTACCTGTGATCGTGGGACAATAGAAAATAACAGAGTGTGGAGCCCATGGTTTGGTTCTGTAGTGGTGGGGGAGGAGCAGAGGAAAGGGAGCAAGAGGAGGAAGGAGGGAGGTAGGAGAAAGAGACATAGCCCAGGGAGAGAGGAAGGCAGTGGCTGAGCTGCCAGGTGTCCTGAGAATGTTGTGCCTGGCTCTGCCGAGGTGAGCTACCTCTCTTTCCACACTGCCCCAGATACTTTTGCTCTGGAATGATTTGCCTGGTCCTGTGGGCAGTGCTTGGCTCTGAGCTACCCAAATGCTTCACCCTACTCTGTGGGTGTTCCCCCTCCCCTGCAAGATAATAAAATTAGCATTCCTGATAATACTCCTGATGACCTGAAATGTTTTAGAGTAACATTTAAAATTCTGTAGTATCATTTGTAAAAGTTCAGCTTTGCAAATAATGAAATGCAGCATGCCCCTTATTGAACATGTATCCCAAATTTTATAAGTTCTTATTGATGGTGAATATTGGATGTCGATAAAAATCCACAGCAATTCATAGTTTCTATGGCTGATTTATTTAAACAATAGGTAGTCAAGAATAGAATTATAGCCTAGGAAAAATTTAAGTGGGAAGTCATTCTTCCAGACCTATGCCACATACTTAATATCCAGATCTCTTATATGTGTATATAAGTTCATCCAGGTTTCAGCTATCTGACCACACCTCTAGTCTTTTATGGCTAGTTAATATAAACTCATGCATGTAAGACTCATGTGTATAATACATGACATATATACATATAAGTATATATGATTATGAAGACTTTAATGAAGTAGAAGAAATGAACTTTAAAAAGTTTACCTTTTTATTAATTTCACATTTATTATAGATAATTTAGACAATTCTAAAAATTAGCTTCAAGTACAGTGCCCTAACACAGCACTGACATTTTGACTCCTGTCTGAGAAGCTCAACAGAAATGAGCTCATACCCAGTCAGGACAAATATACCTCAGTGCAGCTTTCTTTGCTGTTTTTTGTTCTCTTCTGTGAATACAAAAGTTGTTAAGGCACACACACTGACAGACTACAAAGGAAGAGTTTATTTGTTTTACGAGCTTTCTTGCCAGGGTCAATGGTTGTCCATCCAGCAATGCTGCCCCAAGGCAGAAAGAAACCCTCTACTTTCCAACCCTGAGATGGTCTCACTCACTGAGAAAACTAGCTTGTCAAATATATGTCAATTATAAATGAGAAGAAAGTTTTAAAAATCCTAAAAATCTCCAGAACCTGAAAGAAAGCAAACCAGCTTATTATCCTGAGGTCAAGCTCAAGAGATGCCCAAGCATTCACGGGACACATTTAGTAAGAAGCCGACATATTGAAGATGTATTAGAAAGATCTTAATTTCTAATGTGTGCATTAGCATGCTCTTCAAGAGATGAGTCAGTTTGTGTTGCAAGAGGCATGTAAAATTGGCAGCAGGCCTTCACCAGTTGCCGGCCAACATCCCTGCTCCTTGCCCCCCATGCGAGTGTGGGCAGAGTGATCAACTCATAGTGTCCACATGTCTAGCTAGGCCCCCAGACTCCCACCTCCAAGAGAAGCATGGAAGTCAGACTCAAATATTTTGAGTGAATCCACTCTGGAGAAGCTATTCTCACCTTCAGCTAAAATGAGGTCTTGGTGGTGGGGTTGGAAACAACAGTACACTCTACGATAAACTTCTGGGAGGTTTGTGCCTTGACCTCGAAAGTTCTCAAGTTGGATCCAAGGATGTACTGCTCATTGCCTGTAGGTTGATTTTCTGGCACTGATTCACCTATTCCAGTGTCTGTAGTTTAACTTGTACATGGAATGGTCTTCTGATGTTTAATGAAAACATTATGCCATGTTCATAGCAGTAGCATTTTTCCTATTGAGTATTCCTCATTTGTTTTTCATTTATTTTTATATTTTAGAGGCAACATATATGATTGGGCTGAGGGTACTGGGTACTTTCTACCCATTTCAGTGCCACTTGGATAGGACAAACTTAAGGCACATCCTGGAGCCACTGCTGCAACTTACACGTCACATTTTGTGCCATAACTACAGGTCCAGAAAGGTGGAAGAGGATGAATCTGAAGATTCATTGTCAAACCAAAAGTGGGTCTTGGCTCCAAAATCCCAGGACACCGACGTGACTCTTATTCTCAACAAGTTGCTAAGAGAATATGATAAAAAGCTGAGGCCGGATATTGGAAGTGAGTGTTATTTGCTATTCAAATAGAAAATATACTGTGATGATATATTTCTAAAATTTTTAGTTTTGAATAATTATAAATCCACAGAGTGTTACAAAGATAGTACAGAAAGGTCTTCTGTACTCTTCACACATTGATAACTATAGGACAATATCAAAATCAGGAAATTGACATTGGTACAATGTGTTTGCATGGTTCTGTGTTGTTTTATCATGTGTTCACTTGTGTAATGACCACTATGCTCAAGATATAAAGCTATTTCATCACCACAAAGATCCCCTCTTGCTGTCTCTTTATAGTCACGCCCACTTCCATCTCCCCAAATTCCTAACTTTAGCCACTGATTTCCTTTTCATTTATGTATTGTTATCATTCTGAGACTGTTATGTACATGCAATTATTGATCTTTTGAGACTGGCTTTTCTTTATTCACAAAATGATTTTGAGATCCATTCCGGTTATGTATATCAGTAGTTTGTTCTTTCTTATTCCTGAGTAGACTTTCAAGGTATGGATGTATCACAGTTTGTTTATCCATTCACCTCTTGAGGAACATTTTTATTCTTTCTAGTTTTTGTCTATTACAAGTAAGATGACTGTGCACATTTGTATACAGGTTTTTATGTGGGCATAAAATTTTATTCTGTGGGGTAAATGCTCAGGAGTATGATTGCTAGGTCATATGATGGGTATATTTTTAGTTGTTCAGGGCCCTTTTAAACTTTTTTCCAAAGTGGCTATCCCATTTTTTATTTCTACCAGTACAATTTGAGAGATCCAGTTTCTCTGTGTCCTTACCAGCAATTGGTATTGTCACTGTTTTTTATTTTAGCTACCCTAGTAGATATATATTTAATAGGTTGATATTTCATTGTTGCCTTAATTTCTATTTTCCTAATTGTTAATGAAAATTGAACTCTTTTAATGCACTTATTCGCCATAAATATGTCCTCTGTGTTGAAATGTCTCTTTATGTTATTTGCCCTTTTAAAAACTGAAATTTTTGGCTTTTTTTTTTTAGTGTTGAGTATTGGGAGTTCCCTATATATTCTAGATATGATTCCTTTGTCAAATCTGTAGCATGTATTTTATCCTCTTAACAGGATCTTTCACAGAGTAAAAGTTCTTAATATTGGTGAAATCCAATTTATTGATTTTTCTTTTATGGACCATGTTTTTGAAGTAATATCTAGGAATTCTTCATGAAACCCTAGTTCCTGAAGATTTTCTCCTGAAAGTTTTAAAATTTTATGCTGTAAATTTTAATTCATTACCTGTTTTAAGTTAATTTTTATATAAAATCAAAATGTGATGTTTAGATCTTATTTCTTCCCCCACCCTCCAAGGATACACAATTACTGCAGCAGCATTTGTTGAAAAGACTATCTTTCCTCGATTCAGTTGCTTTTATGCAGTTGTCAAAAATCAGTTGGCTTAACTAATGTAGGCTATTTCTGGTTCTCTATTTTGTTCTGTTTATCTATGTGTCTGTCACTCTGTCAATACCCACAGTTTTGATTACTGTAGCTATATTAGTCCTGAAATTGGGTAGAGTAATTCAACCTCTTTATTCCTCTTTTTCAATGTTATCTTAACTTCTTATAGTTCATTTGCTTTTCCCTATACATTTTAGAATAATCTTGTCTATATCTATAAAAAATCTTGCTGAGATTTTGCTGGGAATTGTATTAAGCCTTTACATTAATTTGGAAAAAATTGACATCTTTACTATGTTGGTTCTTCCAATCTGTGAACATAATATGTCTCTCCATTATTGAGATCTTCTTTGATTTCTTTCCTTTTTGAGACAGGGTCTTACTCTGTTTCACAGGCTGGAGTGTAGTGACACAATCATAGCTCACTGTAACCTTGGACTCTTAGGCTCAAGTGATCCTGTTTCCACCTTCTGAGTAGCTGGGAGGTACTACAGGTGCACTCCACCACACTCAGCTAATGTTTTTTATTTATTGCAGAGACCAGGTCTCACTGTGTAGCCTAGGCTGATCTTTAACTCCTGGCTTCAAGTGATCCTCTCACCTTGAATTCCTAAAGTGCTGGGATTACAGACATAAACCACCATGGCCTCCTTTAATTTCTTACATCAGTGGCTTATAGTTATAAATATACAAGTCCTGAATATATTTTACTAGATTTATTTTGAGCAGTAAGTAAATATTTTTAGCAATTGTAAATGGTACTTCGTTTTCAGATTTCATATTTTTCTGTGTTCATAGTTTGTATACAGAGATACAGTTAAATTTTGTAAGTTGATGAATTGGCTTCTGATTTGTTGAACTCTCTTATTAGTTTTAGGTTTTTTTGTGTTTTTTTTTTTTCTAATAGATTCCTTGGAATTTTCTGTGTATACCAACTATCACGTCATCTGCAAATAGGGAGAGTTTTGTTTCTTGTTTTCCAATCTGTATGTCTTTCATTTCCTTTCCTGCCTACTGCACTGGCTAGAACTTTCAGCACTATGCTGAATAGCAGTAGTGTGAGTGTGAGTCTTTTTCCAGATATCAGGGGAAAAGTACTCAGTCTTTCACTATTCAGTATCATGTTAGCTGATGGTATTGTATATATGTTCTTTATCTAGTTAAGAAACTCCCTGCTACTCTTAATTTTCTGAGACACTTTGTTTGTTTGTTTGTTTGTTTTGTTTTGTTTTTGTTTTTTTTATTTTAGCGAATTCTGGGAATGGGCATGAATTTTGCCAAATACTTTAACTGCATCGATTGATAATGATCGTGTGATTTTTTCCTTTGGCCCATTAATATGGTAGATTACATTCATTGATTTTCAAATATTGAATCAGCATTGCATCCCTGCAATAAATCCCACTTAGTCATAGTATTTAATAATACTCATTTTAAAAAACTCTTTTTTATATTGCTGAATTGTATTAGCTAATGTTTTGTTAGGGATTTTTGCATGTCTATTCTTGAGGGACTTTTTTTCTGCCTTAGGTAATATTAGCTTCAAAAATAGGTTGGAAAGTACCCATATTTTCTGTTTTCTGGAATCAATTGTGTAAGAGTTTAATTCTTCTTTAAGTGCTTGATAGAATTCTCTGGTGGTACCCTCTGTGTCAGGAGAGTTCTTTCCTGGGATTTTTAAATTATAAAATCATCTCCTCTATAGGTATAAGTTTATTCAAAGTATCAATTTTACATTAGGTAAGTTGTGGTAGTTTTTTTCAAGAAATTTGTCCATTTCCTTTAAGTTGTCAAACTTAAGTTTGCAGAATTTTTCCTGCTATTCCCTTATGATCTTTGTAATGTCTACAGGGCCTGTTTCATTTCTGATACTGGTAGCTTGGGGCATCTTCCTTTTTCTTTATCAGTCTTGCTAGAGATTTGTTACACTGACCTTTTAAAAGAACCAACTTTTTGTGTCTTTATTTTTATCTCTTGTTTTTCTGTTTCCAATTTGATCAAAAGTTGTTTTCATCTTTATTTTTTCCTTTCTTCTACTTGCTTTGAGTTCTTTTGATCTTTTTCTTGAAGTGGAACTTAGATTCTTGGGTTGAGGCTATTCTTTTATTACTTAAGCATTCAGTGCTCCAAATTGTCCTCTCTCTACTGCTTTAACTTTATCCCACGAATCTTGATATGTTGCATTTTCTTTTTGATTCAATTCAAAGTATATTTTTTATTTTCATTGAGATTTTTTAAACCCATGGATTATTTAGAAGTGTGTCTTTAGTTTCCAGGTGTTTGGAAATGTTCTTGTTATCTGTTATTGATTTCTGGTTTGATCTCATTGTGATCAGAGAACATACTTTATATGAATTTAATTCTTTTAAATTTGTTAATGTTTGATTTATGGCCCAGGATATGGTCTGTCTTGGTAAATGTTCCATGGGCACTGGAAAATAATGTGTATTCTGCTGTTGGTGGGTGGGGTGGGTCCTATTGTTAGTGTTGTTGAGTTCTATAGTCTTGCTTATTTGTTGTCTAGCTTTCTATCAGTTGTTTGGATAGATTAATAATTGGCAGGTTAAAAAAACACATTCTGATCCAAAACAAGGGTGGTGTGTTTGGCCCGGAGAGAAGTGGTGCATACAATGCTGCACGTGGCCCTGCTGTCTTTGTGGTGATGATGGACAGGGGTACTACAGCAGGCACTGTGGCCTTGCCTTGCTCCTTCTTCTCCATGAGGCTCTATTGCATTTAGAGCGCAGCCACTTGCCAGCCCTCACCACTGCCGGAGCCACACTGTCCCTCCATCTTTCCAAGCCCAGGACTCCAGTTTATCTAGATCCTAGGCAGGACCTAGAACTACACTAGTTCCAACAGTCATAGAATTTCAAAATCCTTGTGGTGCAGTGTGGGCAGAGCTTGAAGATGCATGTTCAGCACAATGCTGAAGTCATATCCTCTTTCTGCACCTCAGTTACCTCTTCTATTCGGGGAAGAAGAGGGACCAAATTACTCTTAAACTTCCTTCCAGCTTTGAAATGCTTATTCGATGAGTGATAAATCTAAATTACTATTGCAAGAGGTTCAGAAATTCAGTTGTCACCACAGTTTTTCCACCATAATTATATAAAAAACTCTATCTAGGGTGAAAAGTGTGCAGAAATTCTGCACTTCTGCATTTATGTGGAAGGAGATGATTTACAAAATGTCACTAATTTCCTCATTGATAGTCAGACACTGCTCGACCTTAGAGCAAAGATACACAAGACTTGAACCTTGCCCTGTTGGACAAGCTTAGCTCAGCTGGTACTTTGCTGTTCTTGTGCTAGACCACAGTGAAGCACCTTCCTTCTCTGATACCATTTGGCACCACATTCATCCTCTGAGGTAGAAGATTGGACATGGGCAGAAAGTGGGTGAGGTTGGCTGCCAACATAGATCTCTCTGACTCTGTAGCAAGATCATTTAGCTGTCGCACCATTTATTGAGAACTCAATGCAAGCCTGTTAAAAAACAAGCCTCTCACCCACCACACACAGTGCTACACTTGGAAGGGGATATACTTACGTCCTCTCATGT